CCTCCCCCCCCCTTAAAGCCCCCAGCCACATCATCACCCTGCTGCTGCCCTTGCTCCCTTTCAACCGAGACTATTAGTGCTTTGACAGCCTGCACTGCTATATAAACCTTAAATATTATAATCATAGCTTGAAAACGTTTCCAGTGTTCTCTAGCTCAATTTGAGTCCACGAGACAGGGAAGACCCTGGCAAGCTCCCACAGACGGACACCAACCCTTGTCCCCACGCATCCACCTGCCCGGCGCATGCTGCCCGCAACCATGCCAGCGCCCGGGGACCTGCCGTGGCACCGATACTAGTACTTCAACAACGGGGGAAAGAGAAGAAAAAGTACGAAGAGAACTGAAAGTTTGCCAGAGAACACCTGATGGGTTGCAAACCACAGCAGCACTGAATGAATCCCCTGAATTACTTCAAGCAAAAAAAAAAAAAAAGGAGCAATATTCAACGTCATCTTTTTTGCTGGTTTCCTTCATTATCTACCAGTTGATTTTCTTTTACAACATGAAGCGATCCATACTTTTTCTGATTTGCCTTCACATGTTCATATTTTCCCTTTACACTGTTTCCTGCGTAATTATGTGTCTGTAACGGCAGATGCACGCACTCCTGTGCGTGTCAGCTCTATGCACCTTCATATGCCTTCCCTCTTCCCAAGCCCCTCTTCATCCACACCAATGGAAATTTGTAACTTCTGTGATATTACACGTCACCATTAATACCAGTACGTTAGAATAGACACGATCCCCCTCGGTGAGAACAGGATCTCTCTCCCATATCCTCCAGATATTGCAGTTCCTTCTGGGGGTTACTCCTGCACCCTCTTTGGGTTATTTCATGGCTTCTGATGCCCTTTCCCCTGCCCTTGCCAGCCTCCTGCTGCCAAGGAAAGAAAAAGCTCTCCCTGCTAGCACCAGAAAGCACTCCAGCAGTTAGAGGGAGCAGGGGGGCGGCTCTCCTGTCTGTCCTCGCACCAGCAGCAACGCTCCTGACACACAAGCAAGGCTCCTGGGCCGTGGGAAACAGAAGTGGGACAGGACGGAAGCAAGGCAGATCTCCCACACTGCTGGTCGTCAGACTGGGATCCTGGGCATGCCTCTCAAGGTATCTGGGCAGATATTTGTCCTATTTTACTTCTGGTGAAGCTTGAGAAAATGTATTTACAACTGCCCGTGAAGGCAGAAAGCAACATTTCTCAAAGCAAGTGTGGTGAGGACGCCTATGGAAGGACACAGAGGCGCAATGGTTTAACGATCCAAAGCGTTCACACACAGTATTACCATTATAGCATTTCCAGTCCCCACCTTCCTTGGGTTCTGTGCCATACGCAGCTGTCTTTGTGGTTGCACTGGGAATAAATAGTGATTTGATCTGCAATAAAAATAACCTGGTGCACTGAGTGGAGTAAGAAGAGTACCATGATCCTGTTGCCAAAAGGCTCAGCCTTCTTAGTCAGCCAGTTTTGCTTACCTTAGCTAAAACGACACTTCAACACCGCGCTGTAACAGCCCTTACTCGCGCCAGCTCTCGCCCACTGAGCGTTTGTCCTTAGCTCTGTGTTTTCCTTAAATTGATCCCAGATCCTTCCATGTGGAGGCTGCATGTTCACCTTCCCACAACACGACGCGCTCTCTCCCTCTCAATGCTACCTTTTGCATGGACAACTGCAATCCAAAATTAAACCAAAACAAATTCACATCGGGTGAAAAAAAAAATTAGTAAAATAAGAAACTCTATAAGCCCTGTACTTCTGCCAGGAAAAGTTTTGGGAATACCTATGCAGACTTCAGAATGCGACGTGGAACAGCAGCACCCTGCAAACGCTTTTCGACAAAAAGCCGTCAGTTTGCCAGCCCAGCTCCCGCGGAAACACAGCACGAGTCTGAGCGTCTCCACCATCCAGAACTCTTGACTGGCAGGAAGATGCCTGACTGACAGTTGGGCCAAAAGGGTTAGCGGGGCTGACGGGGCGGGAGGGTTAACAGCCTGATTGGAAAATCAATGTAATAAATGCTTGGTAAGTTACAGGAACATGCGGGAAGAGGAGGCCGCGATTGATAAAGGACTGCGGCTTTGATGCTGCACTGGGGACTTGTTTATTGACAAGAAAGCCAATCTCTTCTCCCGGCCAGGCCAGGCCAGGCAAACCTGCAAGCGCTCACCAATTAATTGGTGGGCTTTTCTGCCTTGGGTTCTTTAACATCTCTCCCCCCACTCACTCCGAGTTAACCAGCCCAGGACGCGCTGCTCCCAAGGAGCCTTCTCTCCTCTCCCGCTCCTCGCCATGGAGGAGCCTTTCCTGGGCGGGTGGAAGAACCCACAGCCGAAACACGGCCTGCTCTGTCCAGAGCCCCGGGACACGTGCCAAGCCCCTACGCAAACCCCAGCTTTTCTTGCCTCTTCAGCTCATCACCAGCGCTATTCCTGAAGAACCATGCTGAGGGAGGAAGAGGCACAGAAATATTTGTTTCTATTTGCACATTAACTGCAGATATCGTCCCTTTAAATTGAAAAGAGCAATTTCCTCGTTAAAACAAAACAAAACAAAAAGCAGGAGTACGATGTAGTTCATATTTACAGGCCCTGCATCCTCCTCCATCCCAGATCACCCTAAGTGACCCGCATGGGACAAGGAGAGCCTGCGAGGACAGATGGACGGCCGCGCTCCACACCTCCCGTCCTCTCTGCTTTGTTTATCAGCCAGTCAATAAGAAAAGGTAGTTCTTACTTAAGGAGGCAGAAGTCAACTTGTCAGGTCGATCAGCACTCTGTCTGTAAACATGGTTTCCCGTAAAATCAATGAACTCCAGTTACAGAGAGAACAGCCTGAGTGCCGGAGACTCCCCGCGCTCCCACCGCCTCGGCGGCGGGGAAGG